GGGGGGCGATTGTCTCTACAATCACTGTATATGAAGCCACTTCCCTCCCCCCTGCCCTCTACTTCTATTCCCTCCTCCCTTCTTCTTCCTCCAAGCTAGTAGATGGACATTTGAGGGAGACTGCTCTGTCTCTTGTGATTCTGTATTGAACAGGAAGTTCAGGGAAGCTGAGCTGAGCGAGTTGGAGCAGGCTGTTCTAGAACACAATGTGCTTGGGCAAAAAATGTATATTACCCCATACAATAAGCAAACAGTTAATCCTTGCTGCTGAGGAAAGGGTGGGGGTTGCAATATTAAATTAAAAAAATATTGTTGGCTGACTCAGGGGGTGGAACTACTGCTGGTGCAGCCAGTGCGGCTACACCGGGGCCTAAGGCTGTGTGGAGGGGCCCAGTGAGGTCCGGTCCTGGGTACCCACCTTGATGGAATATGGGGCAGTGCAGGGTCCCTGGGGCCCCGCACTGCCAACGGGCTGCTCGGCAAGGTGGCGGGCTCCTGCAACTAAACCGCTTCTCTCCCTGCCACGTCCCTATTAACAGGCGGCGGGAGAGAGGAAGCCGCTGACTGGAGTTCAACTTGAAAGTAAATCTTGAAGCCCAAGCCTGTTTTTTAATGGGTAGCCCACCCCTTGTAAAAATCAAAAAGTAAAAAAAAAATGTATTTGATTCTTTTATGTTTTTAGATAATATTTAAAATAATTTATGCTTTGATGACATAGAATCTCGAGCTTATACAATAAGTAGCACCATAAAAAAACAAAACAAAACTAAGGTCTGTGGTTTTGATACAGTTTTTTTTAGGGGTGTGGTGATCATTTTTTATCTCTGTTCCCCGAACAAAATATACATTCTGATACTTAGAAGAAAACAGACATAACATATTATCATAACATAACATCATAACAGACAAAAAATATTTGGGGTTTGAAAATGTAGGGTGTTTCATACACTGGTGGTCCATTCATTCTGAACAAAAGAGACTTTGACAGGAGGGTTGATGAGTCACTCCTGCAGATCTTCAATGAGCAATTTCCAAAATTTCATGGCAGGGTCTGCCAGGCTTGTACACGGTCTAGTAGATGATCTGTTTTTATATGTTTGGTGCTCCAGCAACGGAACAGATGGAAGAGGCTGGTGGACATTTGCTGAACATAGCTGCCTTGGCTGCTCTGACAAATACACCTTCACTGGGACTAACAAAGCGTACTTACAGCTATGGCAAGTGGCGTCGGCGTAGCCCGTGTCCCCGCAGTCGCAGTGGAAGGTGCTCCAAGTCTGCGAGCACGTTCCGCCATGTTCGCAGTGATTTGGCAGGCATCTGTTGGAAACAAAAAACAAAACAAAAAGAGTGTCACAGAAAAGCATCTGAGAGCCACTGAATGGAAAAAAATAAAACGACTTTCCAAATGAGGCCGACAGTTAATTAGCTGCGGAGAGACTGAAAGGGATCTGAGCAAATCAATAATTTCAAATGCTGGATACTCTTGAAATTGATGAACCAGATACAGCAAATTACTAAACAAAAGTCAACCGCTCTCACTAAAGACTCTCGCTTCAGACTCAATTACAAAACCCGGTTTTATTTTTACAGTGGAATATCAAACTTAAGAGAAAACCCATCTGAGGCTTCAACTGTGCCCCCCCCCATGAATATCTGCATAATAAAAAAGGTGTCATGAATACATGCATTTTAATCAGCTCGTGTTTATAAAACTTCAGAAGCTCATAGACATCTGTAAGCCGGGAAATTCTGACCATTAATTAATCTGCAGTCGGCAGCGCGCGGAAATGGCAAACGCGGCGAGCTTATAAAACACGGCTGGTGTTACAGTATGTATGAGTCCGGGCAGATAATAATTGGAACATTGTAACCCATTACTGTAGAATAATAGGATGTCAGGAAGAGGTCACCGATAGGCTTTAGAGGCACATAGAAAAGTGTCAGCCTTCAGATGAGAGAAGGAAAAAGCTAAAATAAAAATGAATAACAATTAGGAGTACATGGAATAATAGATATGATAGATAGATAGATAGATAGATAGATAGATAGATAGATAGATAGATAGATAGATAGATAGATAGTAGACATGTGCACGGCAACAACATTTTGTTTTCGGACGAAACAAATGAAAATAAAAAACATTTTTATTCCGTTCATCAAAGGAAACACATTTTTCTGTTCCGGATTCAGAACAACGAGCCTCCAAATCCAAAACCGCACACTGCAACTGCAGAACGAGCGGCGACCATATCAGCTGCGCGCCGCCATCTTGGAGTGTATCTTGGTGTACAACAAGATGGCGGCACCCGCATGTTCAAGCATTGTCATCTTAGTGTATACCAAGATATACTCCAAGATGGCAACGCGCATGTGCAGAATGAGCCGGCGGCAGATATGGCCACCGCTCGTTCAGCACATGACGTCACCGTCATGTGACGTCATATGCTCCGCCTCCAAGATGGTGGCGGGCCTGCGCAGAACACACCGATGGCCATGCGTTCTGAAAACAAATTTATGTATGCCTGAATATAGTTTTAGTATATTCGGGCATATAATACATTTGTTATTTCAGATTCAGACGAACTACCAAATCAACTGATTTTCGTTGATTTGCAGGGTTGTCCGAATCCGAATGCACCTGTCTAATAGATAGACAGACAGACAGACAGACAGACAGACAGACAGACAGACAGACAGATAGATAGATAGATAGATAGATAGATAGATAGATAGATAGATAGATAGATAGATATACAGATACAAAGACATGATAGACAATGGTGCTCTTCCAACCTTAGGTAAACAGTTTGGGGAACACTCTTTTCCGTTTTCAAATGACTTTGCCCCTGTGCACAAAGCCAGCTCCATGGTTTGGTGAGTTTGGTGTGGAGGAACTTAAGTGGCCTGCACAGACCCCCGGCCTCAACCCTTTTGAACAGGCTTGGGATGAATTAGCTAATAGTAGTTGGTCACATTCAACCTGACTTGTTCTCTAATGTTGAAGATGATTATACACTTTTAATGAGCGTCAGAAACATAGCTCAGCACTTATTGTTGTACTGGTAACAGAGTCACTTTATCTCTGAATTGGTGCCGACACTGTCTTTCCTTCTGAATGGTGGCTACTTTTGTTCCCCATGGTCCCTGTGTGTGTTGTGAAGTAGTCACCACTCCAAGCTCGCTCCAGGGATGGACTACAATCTCATGTTTAGTTTACTCATTTGTATTGAGATTGTAGTCCATCACAGGAGCAAGCTTGGAGCGGTGACTACTTCACAACACACACAGGGACCATGGGGAACACAAGTAGTCACCCTCCAGAGGGAAGGACAGTGTCAGCACCAATTCAGAGATGATTGGAGGATCTACAGCCGAGTGATACACAAATAAGATACATGGTTGTTAATAGTGAAGGTACTTGAATGGATTTTAAGATGTAAGAATTCCTGAGTTTAGTGTGGCTTTAAAGAACATGATGGAAGGTGTGATGAAAGCCCAGCCTGTTCTAATTACAGAATCCAAAGAGGCACAAAAGAAGCCATCTACATCAAACTGGAACAACAACCCCAGAACAGGAGTGGGAACCCTCAACGATCTGTCACCCACCTATATAGTTTTTGTAACACCATTATCCCAGTAATATGACTACAATTCACACTGAAAGCCATGCAGTGAGACCAGTGGCACCATGATGATTTGATTATGGAATTAGAACAGGGTGGTTTCACACATTTTAACACCTCTGGTCATGCTCTTGGACAATCAACATTTACCTTGACACATTCCAAGGTGGTTGAGTCAAGGCAACATACCTGTTGCCTTGAAGATATAAATGCTGGGGTATGTTCCTGGAGTTGTGGAGGTAGGTGAGGAACATCATAAATAAACGCCTTGAAAGCTTCTGCAATAATATGTTCACTGGTGTATAAAATCCATAAAACAAGGGTCCACGTTTTGCACTTCCCCATCTTCAGGGCTTTTAACAATGTTAGCAAAGTAAGAAGTGGGAGCTAAAGTCAGTGATCAGATCATTTTGGGTTCTGCTCTAGCCAGCAGAAGGATGTTCCCAACACATAATGGAACTGAGGAAGACACATGGATGAGTAGTGAGATGCCTTCAACATTACAAAACTAGTCCGGTTGAATATGACACCAATGGTCCAATAGGTTGACTTTAACAACACATGGCTTCCCCCCAATATATAAATCTCATCGGAATCACCATCCTTGGTGCCATGATCTAACTTGAGGTTCCTCTAAAGTTTTAATGCCAATGTCGAATGTGGACTTTCCAGCCACAGACTTCCTATGCTATATCAAAATCAATCAGTCTGTGATGATTTTAATGATAATAGAACCATGCTGTGGTTTTTAATAAGATAGAATGGGCAGCCAGGTAAATAATAATGCACAGGAATGGCTGATCATCAATTTCTAAAATGAATATTGCAAAGCTAATTGTTAAAGACTTCCACTGCTTATTGTTTGTACGGAAAACAAATTGATTAGTCCATGCGCAGATGCTCGGCTTTCTGGAGTTTTTGAGTTTTAACCACTTCGGCTCTTACACCTGTACAGCGCCTATGGACAAGAGCAATGTTTATATTTTTGCTATGGGCCTGCTTATTAATCAAAAACTTTTTTTTTTTAGGGGATGTGACGTCATTGGCAAAGTGCTCCACGCCTGGTGGTCCTGTGCACAAGTCCATCATTGGTATAAAGTATCCACGCTACTCTTTCGTCTGGTCCTCCTACCCATGCAATTACAACCAGGAGAAGCATTGCCTAACCTACGACCCCCGATTTGTCCAACCATAATTTCGCCCTTATGACCCATGTGCCGCCACCGAACTATAGTCATCGCAAAATCCTGGAATCCCCCCTTCTTGCATTTTGCTGAAGTTAAAACCGTATCCACACTACATTTTTGAACAAAAAATTATCTGCAAAGCTCTCTGATTCCTTGACGAAATTCCATAGGGTTTGGGACCCATGATTTTGATCACCACTATTCGTTTTTTTTATCTGATATTTTAAACAATATCTGATTCAGCAGCGTACATCTGAACCCTGGAGCTGTTCTTTTTTTATTTCCTCCTCTCTTCACTCCTGTTTTCTCCTACCTCTCTAAACCAGTGGTTCCCACAGTTGAGGGGGTCGCCACATGCTTTGTGCTGCGCTAGGTGAGAGGCTCCTCAGCCTCCTCCTAGAGCAGCAGTGTCAGTCCCCTGGCCGGGAAGGATCAAAGAGAGGGGAGCAGACAGGAGTGAGGGGAGTTGAGTGCTGGCTTGATCACCAAAGAGCCGCACAGGCCACCACAGGGCCCGCACTGGCCACCACAGTGCCCACACTGACCACCAGAGAGCCGCGCTGATCACCAGAGAGCCGCATTGACCGCGGGAAAGCCCCATTGACCACCCGTGAGCCCACACTGGCCGCCCGAGAGCCCACACAGATACTATTATTGGTGCATTCCTAAATGTTACCATTGGGGTCACCACAACCTGGCAAATGTTACCAAGGGGTCCCGGCCCTAGACGGGTTAATAACCACTGCTATAGACACTATATACATTCATTCCACTCTTTTCTTTCAATTCCCTTCTCCCCTTCCCTTTAATTCCTTCCCCCTCCATGCCTTAATTTTTTATACATACAGCGCTCCCCCCTCCTTCAGCGCTGTCTTTGGATCCCCGCTGCATGCATTGGGCTGAGGCAGCGGGGTTCTGAGGAGAAACTGTCCACTGAAGCCTGCGGGAGGGGGTGCAGTAGGCGGCTTTTTATATTTTTGTAAGCTCTTTGTGTCCTTATTGTTTGCACACAAATTTCTAATTTGATTTTTTTTTATTTTTGTAGTCCAAGCAGCTTTACAGGCATGTCACGTTGCTTCTCCTACTCACTTTCATTTATTTGTGAGCAAATAGAAAACTATTTTTGCACATATGTTTTCGACATTGCTTCTATAACCCCGTAAAATATGATTCTCTTTCGTCCAAAAATAGTTTTAATAACATCAATTCCCAAAAGCTCAAGTAGAACCCCCGACAGCATTCAGGTTTCCTGGGGAATCAAATTGCCATCCGCACAGAACCATTTCAGACACAATTTTCTAGAGTGATTGGAAGGGATACATAGGACTGAAAGAACATTTTTACTTAAAGTACTCAGTGCAGCGGTCTGACATTTAGCCACACGGAGAAGCGGAGACTCTGCTCCACCGAGGACAAAATATAACCTGACATTTCGGGAGAGAGCAAAAATACATTTAGTAAAAGGCAGTTTGTTAAACCTTTTCTCGACTATTTCTTCATTTGTTTG